TCTTTCCCAAGATCTCTAACAAAAATTCCTGGGAGAACTCTCTGACTGGACAGTCCTTGATCAGATGTCACACCTGGGGGTGGGAGAAGCAGTGAGTGGAACCAGTGTTCACAGAACCACAAGGCATAGGTGGGCCCCCAAGGAAGGGATCCTGGGTAGGTAACAACCTGTATTTGTCCAGTATACCCACCATCTCCAGGTGGACTGAGCACCTGAGTCCCAAGAGAGGCTCAGATGGATTGGCATGCAGCACTGATTAAAAGCTTGAGTTTTTCAGTCAGCCTGGGTTCAAATCCCAGTTTTTCATTTACATATCCCAGGTCCTGGAATAGCAGCTAACCTCTATAAACCTCAGAATCCTCACCTGTAAGATGGTAATAATTGTTCTTACCTCATAGGGTTGTTAAGAGAATTAAATGAAATATTGTAAAGCACTCAGCACAGTTCCTGGTGTACAATAAGTGCTCAGGAAAAGAGACATAGATGACAATGACAACCATGATGATGAGAATGATGATCCATTATGGGGGAGCCTCCACAGGACAAAGTTTCATTCCCAACCAGCAAGAAGTAGCTGACTCCTTTGTGTTCAGCTCTGCCCGTTTTTACGTGGCTGCCTTTGACTCGGACAAAATCCCTGACCCAGCCCAACGTGGGCAGGTGAGCAGAGCTGGCTTCATCTAACACGTTCCATTACCTTGGCAACTTCATGGGCTGCTTTCCTCAAAAAAGAGCATGCAAGGAAGCAGGCTAATGGAACTTTGTAGATCCCTCCCATGGGCAATAATTACACTTGGGCCAGCCCATTATTTTTTGAGTAGCCTTTTACTCTTCAGGGAAATTTCTATATTATGTGACTCTCCCCCAAAATAGTGTTGCATTGCCAGCCTCCCTTGCAGTTGAGAGGCAGGCATGTGACACAAACAGTACCAAATATGTACACTTGTGTGAGACTTTGGTCAAAAGAGGTCAACGTGCTCAAAGAAGTTCTGTGATGAGCTTTCATTCTGTAGGTGGCAGTAGAGGTGTCTGCCCTGTGGGAATGTTGCGATTTTCCCAGGGCAGAAACACACCTGAGGTGCTCACAGTAGTGGTGACTGCAGAAGGTTGGAGTAACTGCTAGTGCTTAGTCTTGGTGGCAGCAATGACAACAGATTTCTCATCAAGCCATTTCTGAGGCGAGGTTTTAGCCATTATTCCAGGAAAGTTAGCTTAAGACTGTTTCTTCAATTCTCTTAATGGTTATGTGAACTACCTGCTATTTTTATTTATTTGTTTGGTTTTTTTTGTTGTTGTGGCTGGCCTCTACAGGGATCCAAACCCTTGACCTTGGTGTAATAACACCATGCTGTAACAACTGAGCTAAGTTGTCAGCCCTCTGCTATTTTTAAATGTATCCTTTTTGCTGCTTGAACTAGCAGAGTAGATGTACTCTGAGTGGACAGAGTTGTCTGCAACTAAGAAGGCTGACCAATACAGTTCCTCTCCAACATTTTAATCTCAGTGGGAGTTGGGCCAAAGGTCTACTTTTCTTCCTAATGTATGTTTACAAACATCAAAAAACATCAAACTAACTTTTAATTCTAAAAATCCTTATTAAAGACAAGAGTATCTATTGATTGGGTCTGTGCACAAGAATTCAAAGATCATGGGGAGTTCCTAAATGTTGATAGTATGTAAAAAGCTGAATTCAGAAAAAGCATTTCCATCACTGCAGTATTAATATCATAACTCTACACCATTATACTTTCCAGATAAAAGAACATGGGGAAATTCCTGTTTGATAATTCTGAAGAACTACAGATATTATGGAAATATCATAAACACTGTATTGTCACTAACTTGGTCTGCATAAAATAATTTTCATACTAATTGCTTTCTAGGTACTTTTCATTCCATGTACACATTTGTAAAACATAAATCTAGACACCGATGTGGTGCAGCCGGAGCAGTGTCATATTCAAGGAAGCACATACCTCACCAGAGCTCCAGATATGGCTCATGCCTCTAAAAGAACAGTGGAAGGGCAGAGTCCAGCCATGTCCAGCATCTCCTTCTCGCCCCCTCCCCATGCTGCACTGCCCTGAATTGGTGCTCAGGCACTTTTCAAGATAATCGAAGATTATCCACATCTGAGGTTAATTGTATTGAAAAAGTCCACTTATTTACTTAAAATAGACTCCAAATTTTTATAGCAAATACTGGAAAATTGTTCCGAATTTTATCCTAAAAAATGAAACTGAAAATTAGAAAATTAAATTTATTTTGTATTTATCAAAATTTCAGTTATATTTGAAACTAGGTGCTAATTCTCATGAGGAACAAAGAGTAAATCAATGTGGATTTTTTTCAAGCATGGTTTCCCCCACAGAATCACATTATAGCAAAATACAAACTTCCTTCCCTTCTGCTATGGTTTGAATATGTCTCGTCAAGTTCATGTGTTGGAAACTTAATTGCCCTCGTAACAGTATTCAGAGGTAGAGGCTTTAAGGGGTGATTAGTTCATGAGAGCAGAGCCCTCATCAATGGATTCATGCCATCGTCACAGGAGTGGCTTCTGATAAAATGACTAAGTTGGCCCATCTTGTCTCTGCCTGGGATCCTCGCATGTCCTGCCATGGGATGGTCCAGCATGAAGGCCCTCACCAGACTCAGCACTAGGCTCTTGGACTTCCCACCTTCCAGAACCATGAGCCAAATAAACTCCTTTTCTTTATAAATTACCCAGTCTGTGCTATTCTGTTACAGGAGCAGAAATCAGACTACGACACCCTCATGTGTGGCTTTCACAGCATTATAACGTAGATTACATTTGGAAAAGTTCTTAATTTTTCTCATGGGCTTCCTTTATTTATTTTTGTATATTTTATTTATTTATTATTATTATTTTTACATTCTATGATGTTGTTATAGAGCAGTTGGGGAGGGAGAAGGGAAGGGGGAAGGAGATAGGGTGAAAGGAGGAGGAAGGAGGAGGGGTGGAGTTGAGGCCTGTGGCACCCCCTCATTCCTGCAGGGGAGGCCGGAGGGCTTCCACCAGTGGCTTGGTCATTGCTGAGCTGGGTGCAGATGTCAGAGGGGTATGGCTGAAGCCCTCACCCCAACACTGCCCCAGCTCGGGAGCCCAGTGGTTGTCGCTGGCTGGTTGTGGGTGTCAAGGGACATGGCTGAGGCCACCAGCCCTCCCCCTCCCTGGCTTAGTAGCCCAGGAGACATCTGGTCCTTCTAGGTTTTATAGGTGTTCTTTGGTGATGTGAGAACTTTATTCGTTAATATCAAACTTTGTCTCTGGTTTGTAAGTATATTGGTTTTTCTTTCAGTTCTGTGTTGGATTATTTGTTGTTCCCACCACTTAAACTCTGCACTAGAACTAATTTGTTGTCCTTTTCTTACTTCTAAAATGGGGGAACTTCCTGTGGGGACCAGCACTTGAGCTCTGTGATTGAACTAAATTGCTGCTTTGCTGCTGATTCCCTGGAGAAGGCTTTCTGTGCAGCTCAGGTTTTAATGTTTGACTTTATATGTGCTTCTGGGTCTCATGAGATCTGGTGCACCTGGGTTGTGTAGAAACACTGGTCTGGGTCTGAGTCTTTTCAGCAAACTGCACCCCATGCAGTTCTATATTCCTGACCAGTCTGCACTGAGTGGTCCTATGCTGACTGGGGGGCAGATGAGCTGTGCTTGCTGTGCTGCAGTATTCTCCCAGTGGCCCCATCTCCCACACTGCCACCACTCCAAATACTTCCCATTGGACAGGTCGTGCACTGGTCTCTAGCAATGACTCACCGGCCTATGAGTAGCTCCTTTTTTTCATTGTTGTGGCTCCTCGTGCCTATGTGGGTCCACAGGAACCCTGTTAGTAGTGCTGCTGTCCTGGGGCCACCAATGCCCTCTTCTCCCCTGCCGCCTCCGAGCAACTCCATCAGAAGGGGACAGCTGCGGCTTTTGCCGGCTCCTGCTCTGTGTGCTCTGCAGCTCCAGCCTTAAAGCGGCCAGGGCTTGAAACAGTCAGAGCAGTCCTTTCTTTTTCTCATCGTGGCTTCTCCCCTGGGCTTCTTTTAACCAGTTTGGTATTTGAAATCATCCTTTTTTGAGGGGAATTTTGGTTCTTTCTTCTTCAGTTTCTTTCCTTTGGTTTTTCACTGGAATAACTCATCAGGGTCTTCATTTGTCAAAAAAGCCCATCATTCTCCCACTTCTTTCAACATCATTTATGTCCATTTTATAAAATTCTGCATCTTTTACAAGATCAGTACTGCACTATGGAATGAACGTGTATTGGATTTACATTACATTTTCAGATACTCTCAAAGTTGATGAATTAAGCAGAGATTAACTGAAAAAGACGATGACATAGCAAGCCCAGCTGTGTGCTAATATTAGGCAACAAGGAATGTTTGAGTGGGGCCTAATTTTTTAAGGGGTCAGTTTATTCGTGAATATGTTTATGTTCCATGACTTTGATTCTCTGTGCAACCTGGTAACTGCAGACACTGAATAATACATACTTCAATAACAGGAATCACTTCTGCTTTTCCTTTGAGAATCTGTGCACAGGTCTTTTGTCCTCTCTACCTCTCCCCTTTCCAACCACCTGGAGTTCTGTAGCTTGCTGTCCGTTATACTAATTCTCATTGCAAAAGTCCAGAAATAAGTCTCACAGAGATGGACCCTACATACACCTTCAGAGTCCACTTAGGTCTGTCTTGATTTTAACACATTAGACTTTTTAGGATATTTAAGGTTTATGATTTTGGTCAGAACTGTAGTTCCAAGTCAAATATGTGTTTTTAAGAGCAAATAATATGGGTCCTAGTAAACTCTCAAAATCACATGGTAAAAATCAATGTCTTTCTTATGTGTCTCAACAAGCGAATGGTCAGTGTTGGAATCCCGACTCTTTAGTGAGGATATGAACAGTCATAAGTCTATAAATTGAGAAAAGAGAATATTGTTTCATATTTATGTTCAATTAGTTTTCTATCTATTTAAGCATGTTGAATACTTTATTTATTTTAAGTTTCAAAAACTTAGCTTAGTCCTAAGAATGAAGTATTTTCTGGCTATGAAGCCTCCAAATAATTACCAGAAAGAGAATTGAGCAATATTTTCACTTTATAATTTAAAACTTTGACTTTTTAATAAACTCATCTGAAATACTCATGCGATTGGATAGCATATTCTTGAAATGTGTACAAAATAAACTATCATTTATTTTCCTCTTTGCTGTTTTAAAACAATTTTTATTAGGTCAAGGGTGTAAGTTTCAGGATATAATGTAGTTTGCCAGATTCTGCAATCCTTTTTTTATTTTTAATGTCATACAGGGCGTGGTGCCTTTAGGGAATTTTTCTAAAAGTTGTAGTTCATGGTGTTTTTTTCCTTCACTTTCTCAAAAACGGTAAGATAATCTAAACCTTGTAGGGAAATTATTGTTCCTAGTATAGGCTCCTGGGTTCTCCCACTACTAAAAGATGATTTTCTGAAGCCAGTTTTATTTATTTCCTTGCAAGGAGTGTTTATGTTAACATTATAAACTCATTAGAAATGAGGTCTTGATAAGTACTACTTTTTTGATTTTTGCTTAGAAAGGTGAAAATAATTTAGAAGAAACAACACAAATGAGGCAACAAAATGAAGTTACGTCTCCTCATGGGCGGTGGGTTATTGAAAATCTCAGTGACTCCATCCTGTTCTTGCTATTCTTTTATTACTCCCTTATTATTGTGAAGCACTTAAAATAAAAGTTTAAAATTAGCTGTCTGTAATTAAGTAAAAGTATGCCTTGATTGTGCAAGGCGAGAATGGTTCTTCTTAGAAAACCAAATTCTCTGTAAATCTTAACTCGTCAACATTACAAAAAGAAGTGGTTGGAAAATGTCTTCCAAGAACAGAGAGATGCCAGCAGAAAAACACGATTTTCAGAACATAACATAGGATGGTGAGATCTGATGAGTTGGGTTCCGCCCTCATTCTATGACATTTAATGACAATGCACTCATACATCGCTTGCCTGAAAACGCACGTCTAAATCCCTGTACAGAAGCTTTGTCCCTAGTCATTCTCACACCCTGGCAAAAACAGAAAAGAGTCTGCTGAGACTGTGTGCGTGACAGTCCCCTCTTTTGCTTCTCTTTTTCTTTCCTTGGATCTGGGTGTTTGCAGAAGACAAACAGAAGGAACCCCAGGTTCCAGTCCGCGCTAACACTTTTTACTTAAAAGCAACTAGGGGGTGGGGACTCTCTCCAAAGCAAACCGAGAAGCTCCCCTGAGACTCTCGTGTGGCCGCTGGTGCCCCCAGCAGGGGCGCCCCCGCTCCTGCCCCGCCCGGTCCCTGCGAGGG